TTTCTTAAATTTAAACTTTCTGTCAATACAAAAATTTTGTTTAGTTTTCGTAATTTTATTTTTGAAAGTTAGTTCTTAGTTAGTTAACTTTATTTTTCAACTGCATTTTAAATAGCATTTACCTTAGTAGTTAATATTCAAACTTCGCACTTACTTTTTTTTTTATATTTTTAAATTATAAAATAATTTTAAAAAATTACTTAAAGGATTTTCTAACTTCCATATGTGATCGATATCTACGTCTCTATTAAAGTCTTTTATTACTTGAGTAATACATATACTTGCGTTGAGTTTAACGGAGATTTGCCAGTTTAAAAAGAGTTTTAAAAGATAAATTATTTTCATTAAAGGTATTTTTGTTGGGATTATATTGCATATTTATTATATATATGTCGTGTATAATTTTGTAATATTAAAAAATATTTGCAAAAATTTCACACTAAATGTACCCCGCCTATTAGTGGTAAGACTGATATGACATATCACCCGACTTAGCGGAAAAAACCAACCAAAGTAGTCGAGAAATCGATATGATTATATGACTAGGGTGATCTAGTCACAATAGCGCTTCCACGAGCACTAAAGAGACGACTCTCGCTGAGGATTCTCCCATTTAGCAAGCTAATCCTTGTTGGGGAGGCATCAAATGTCTTGATGCAGACATGGATCGATTGAACGAGCAATTCAACATGTCGTTCGATGAGGCGGACAAAACCAACCAGTCGATCCAAAAAATAACCATGGCTTCTAGATAGACTCACAGGTGCAACCACAAAGTGCTTCAACCAAGTACTAGCAAAGTAGCTTTAGCTAAAAGGGCCCCGCAGAACTAACAAAGTAGTTATCGTTGAGGATAGCTCAACAGATATCTCCTGTGAGAACTGACTAAGTCAATTCTCTTTAGGGACATTACTGAAGCACGCATTAGGCATCCAAAAGTGGCACTAACTAAAGACATAGATCGGGTAGATAATAGGCGAGTTTAAAAATGCAACATGTTGCTCTGACAAAGCAATAGAAATTGACCGAGTCGAGAATATTAAAGAGGGTGGTTTGCCAAAACATAACAACCCTATACGTGATAATACCACCAAAGATTTTAGTGGAACAACTTTCACTGGGGAATTACCACAGTATCCAAGAATAATAGGTCAAAACATAGTATTTCAACCACAATGGTATGCCCTTAGGCTGACCCAGAAACATCCCCTAAAGGGGAAAACACAACACTCATCTGATGTGATTGAGAAACTCCAATTCAGACCAAAAAGGGGTGCTTAACCGAATAGAGGTGTAGAGGAAAGAAGCATAGCTTTCCTGCACATGAGAGTTATCATTCAAACTTGACATTGGTCAGTCGAGACACTTGAGAATCAATTCAGACCAAAAAGGGGAGCTTATCCGAATAGAGGTGTAGAGGAAAGAAGCATTGCTTTCCTGCACATGAGAGTTATCAGTCAAACTTGACATTGGTCAGTCGAGACACTTGAGAAGGGTTGGACAAAATAGATTGCACTAACCAAATGACGTTTAACCCTAAGGCCAAACTCAAACATATCCCATAGAAGGAAAAATAACATACTCGTAGGAGATGAGTGTGGCGAGTATAACTGTCATAATCATCTATGATTTATGGAACATGCTTGATCCAGGGCCAGAACCGAAACAAGTCATGGCAGGGACATGGTCCACTCTACCAGACAAGGTACAATAGAAGGTAACTTTAGCACTCTTAGGTAGTGTAACATCTGCGAGGATGAAAACCCTCAAAATACGGAAGGACTATAAGTGAGGCTAGAAAAAAGAGAAAGAACGTCACAGCGCATCGCCATCTGGCACCAGCCCCTTCCTCGAGGGAAAATTAGCACAAATATGAGCTGCTACAACAAAAGAAGTGGCATGCAACAAACGTCCAATGGGGATGTTGTCCACCCAACCGAGGACAATAGCAAAACGACTCTCAATCCAGAGAGCCAAAGACTCCTGCACTAGAGTCAAAATAGGTATAGAAACCTAAAGTAGAACATGCTGCTCAATTTGCAGTCATCTATTCCTGGTCTTATTAGCCTTCTTGCCTAATCAAGAGATAAGTGGATTATCAGGGGAAACCGAAATAGAAAGAGAGTCGGGACAAGAGTCACAACAACGACAACAGTGAAAAACCTACTACTGATAGAAGACTCACCTGTCTCTGGCAGGGAGATCCGTTAGAGCACAGTGAGACGGGTATCTAAAAGATTGTCGCGTGTTGTAGCGCGTCGTTGTCGGGGAACTCCTCTTTTAGCAAGAGAGTCGGGCTCGAAGAGAGCCACGGTAGCAAGAACATATTGATATGCACGACTCCCATTTTAAGGGGAAGGGCATAAAACAGACATTTAAGATGGCGTATGAACAACTCAATATGAGCGACTCCATATTAAGGGGGGTTAAAGTGCAAATGTCTCAGAGGGGGTAGGATTACATAAGGTAATCCTACAGAGGTGCTCAAACGGACTGAAAGGTATGGCACCTTCATGAGCATAGAAAATGCTCGGGGAGAGGGAGACAAAGATCTCCCAGCAACAGTGATCATGACCACCTTCTTGCTCTTACGCATCGTGGGGCAAAAAAGGACATCGCTCGGAAACATAGAAAGGTTAAGAAACCAATCACCAAGTGCAACGACATTTGTGCCCGCTATAATGCAACAACCAAACTACTGAGGGTGAGAGAAGGAACATAATGCGTCAAGTTGCTACCCCTAGCACCGACATATGGACTGAAAATCAATGTCTCACAAAAAACCCAACTGCGACTCGAAGGAAAAATAATAGGTCACAATAATATGAGTGAAACCCTCAATAGAAAGAGAGAGATTATAGTTCTTCAACCCTACTATAATTTTCGATCAAACCGCAACTCTGTTTGATAGTGTCAAAGTCAATATTGATGCTTAACACTATCAATATTACTTAAGAGCTGAACCAGTCTGGCGACATGAATAATTAATATTTTTTAAAAAGAAGATATGAGTTTTGTCTTGGACTAGGTGTTGATCGCCTTTGAACCTAGTTTGTTTGAAACGATAGCCATTACTCTATTGAAGGGAAGACAAAGGTCTTGTCGTAAAACTATGGGCCTTGCTCATCTCTTTATTCAATATGATCAATGAGAGCAATCATCTATTTTTTAAGGGAAAAATATGCCATGTCATAACATTTTGGGTCTTGACCACCTTCAAACCCAATATGTTTGATGAGAGCAATCTATATTTGTCCCAAAGAAAGACAATTATCTGATTATATAATTAAGGTTGTTAATTGTCTCGAAATTTGTTATGTTCGATGAGGGCAACCAACCTCTTTTCAAAGGGAAGATATGTGTTACAGTGTAGGGCTATGAGCCTTGATCGTCTCTAAACCCAATTTGTCTGACAAAGTAATCAACACATTTTTAAGAGAAGATAAGTACCTCATTGGAAAGCAACAATCCTTGTCAGCCTCAAAACCTGGTCTATCCAATGAAAGCAATCAACACATTTTTACAAGAGAAGAAAAGAGTGTTATCATAGAACTACAGGTCTTGATCGTCTTCGAGCCCAGTTTGTCCAACGAGGGTTGCCGACACATTTCTAAAGGAAAGATATATGCATCTTTGTTGGACTAGAACCTTGATCTCTTCCAATTATAGTTTTTTCGACGAGGGTAGCTCACTTTTCCAAGTGAAGATAAGTGTCTCGCCATAGGACTACAAAATTTAATTGTCTCTGAAAACAATTTGTCTAATGAGATAAACCAACTTTTCATAGAACTATGGGCTTGATCACCTCCAAACCCAATATGTACGATGAGATTACTTGACACCCTTTTCAAAATTTGTGTCTTATTGTATGGCCATGAGCCTTGGCCACCTATAAATTCAATGTACCGACTAGAAGAGACGGCGATTTTCCTAAAACATTTTACATGAACAATATAGTTCAAATTCAACCCAATCAATCAAATTCTAAATTCAATAAAAACGAATTACTATGTAAACTTCAAATACATTAAAATTTTATACTATATTTATAAATTTTTATACCAAACATATAATTTTATCAAAATCCCTATTAAAAATTTACAACACACCACTAGCTGACTCAAGGAAACAACCCATAAGATTACAATTAAAGAGATTTCTTGAATCACAACTCTAAAAGGAGGCACACATTAACTTATAAGGAGCGTTCACCCTTCATAATTTCTTCAAAATTACTATTTCATAGCCCACAACTTTTTGACAAATTAAGATACTTGTTTTTGACAAATTAAGATAATTGTCAATGTCCATTGCCAACATCTAATAATACAAGATAATTAATACATCTTCAAATATTCTTTTTAATCAAACACAAATCTCAATACACTTTAAAATTAGAAGGATAAATATCAAATAAGAATTTGCATGCACTCAAATTTATAATCAAACAAAACATCTAAATAATACGAAGCAAATGACATAAAAAATGATCATATGCGAGTTCATGGCGAAACTTTCAAATTTGACAAACCATCTTAACAAAGCAAATCCAATTAGCACAATATCACTTTATTTCATATTTCAAGTTCAGCAAGAAAATTCAATTACACATTGAAACATGTACAATATTTTTTACCACTCAAATATCAAATTATTTAGGACAATTCCTGCTAATTGGAGTCTAACCTTTTATTTATGACCATTATCCAATATCCTAAGCTCAAATTCAACTGGCACGATATCACCAACATCATCATATTTCAGTTCCCCAAGAACATTCACACAGAAACTATCACTCGATGTGGGATGGGCTAGGGCAATAAAAGGCAAATTGATGTTTCAGGAGGGGGCAAAATATTAAATTGCTCTATATATAAGTAAAAATCTGATTGCCCTTGCTCTATATATAAGTAAAAATCTGACCCCCAGTGACCAAAAACATGCATACTGAATACTCTAAGAAAATAAAATAGCAAGGCTAATGTAGTAAAACAGTAATGTTGAAATCAAACGCAGAAAAGAGCCAGAACTTAATCCAAGATGCAAACTTTGAAGTTTACATCAAACTTTAGAGTCTTGTCAACCAGCCACAATACGAACACCATGAAGAACCACAGTCACAATAAGAACAGTACCATTTCACTGCATTTTACATCAAAAACTGAGTGGTTTGTAAGATAATATGTGCAACCCGTGATGGAAACCCCAAACTTTACTGACATGTAGAAATCGTCCAGCTTACCCGTCGGCATTCGTTGTCTGCGCACCGCCTTCTCCACCAAACACCTTCGCAATCCTATCGTTCGGCACAAGCGGCAGAAACTCAGCCACCACATATCCCTTCCCCGCCGCAGAACTCACAGCCTTGTTGTACTTCTCCGTCCAATAAGCTGCTGTGGGTACGACGATCTGCACCACGTGAGGGATGACTGGAAGTTGGTTGAGTGACCGCCATGCAACCACCGCGTGCTTTTCTATGGCTGGCTCGCATCTCCCATACACATCTTGCACCACTGGACTGCACTTCTGCTTCGCAGCGCGCGCCAACTGAATCGTCGTCGTCATAACGCCAAAACGTTGCACGTCGCCAGCCACCGAACGAGCCACTTCAGGTGCCCGCCTCAGAAGTGATGGTACGTATCGCTCAACTTCGCAAAGAAATTGGTCCACCTGTAACCCATTACATTGAAGATAACCCCAATTTTTTTCGAACTGTTATTAATCTGCACAGGATTCTTTGAGAATCGATACATGAATTTGTGGATTACAGATTTAGCTACATGAGATATAAAGGCAACCGCCCCAATTATCCCTATCTTACACAGAGTTTCTTTGAATAAAACATAGATACTGATGAATTCGGCTATCCTGCGCGGATCGAAACTATGCTCGTACAAGGAAAATAAGGAAGCTAAACAAATGGATGAGATAGATAGGAGAAAAACCTTTCGATCGATGAACTTGAGAAACTCCAAAGGAACATCATGAATTTTGTCAAAAACAGGGGCAACAATCGCCTTCACCGTGCCCTCCACGGCCTGAACTCCCGGACGCAACGGTCCGGAGTTCTCCTTAGCAAGATTATAAAGGCTCGACAGACATATAATTGCCTGAAACGCTGCCACCTGCACGAACTCGAGATGTTTAAGCTTCGTCTCTTGTGCCCGATTCTGCGAACAAGAACAGCCAGATGGATCAAACAATACTGAATATCTAGATCTAATAAAATCTGCAAAAAATCAACCTAACAAATGAAAAATCCTACCGGATCGTTAGAACTAACCCCGGAATCCGCCATCTCCGATTAGCTTTTCAGGATCCAAGAGAAAAAAAAGATTCCAAGGAAAACCCTATACGCTGACTTGCATGAAGGACATAGGGTTTTTCTTATAACAACAAAAGCAGTTTCGATGGCTGTGATGAAGCCGAGTTTCTAATTGGACGGACGTGATATAAGGGTTTTGTTCACAAAGGAGAAGGATCGCGAAGGCACGGTTTGGGAATGCGGCCACGTGTAGCCCGCGTGCCGGTGAAGTAATGGCACGGTATGATAGGCAAGAGAATCGGCTGTATGGCTGACATAAAGCCACGTGGCGAGAGGCCATGTGATTACAGAAGGGCCGATCCACCACGACTTCGATATTTTTTTTGTGGCTTTAACATTTGTATATTTAGGGGGTGTTTCATGCAAGAAAATTTTCACAGCACTTAGCTATATGAATCTAATGTAAACCTAATCAAATAGTAGAATATAAAAATTAAATACAATTCTCTGTTAAATATAATGTATTTCCGTTTCGTTATCTTTACAATCGTTTCATTTATAAATTTAGATTTAATGGATTTATCTTGTCATTGTTCGTAATTTTTACTATCGTCTTTCACTCTCATCATGAACTTGTCGGAAATCTGAATTTGATAAATCCTACATCGGATCTTACAGTCATATATTTTTTTTTATTGACCTGTTGAAAGAATGTTGGGGTGGTTTGCAAAAATTATTCATTATTTTGGATTACTTGAATGCAGACATCTGTTCATCTTTGGTGTTAAGCGTGGAGCATTCTGATTCATATTTGGTTCTGAGTCTTTCTTCTTAGTGATTGGTGATTTGATTCTCCTGTTAGATAATGGGTTCTATTAATTTTTCTAGACAGATTGATGAGTTATGTTTCCTTCTCTAGCTAGAATGTTTATCTGTGATTTATTGATGTTGATGGACCTTTTTTACTTCTTAATTTATTTATATGTCATTCAAATTTGTCGGAGTATTATTATTATATGTTTTAGTCATATTATTTGAATTTTGGTCTTTGTTGCACTTCTTTTTTTCATTAATGAAATTTGATGTGGCTCTCAATTTTCTGAGAAAATAATTATATATTTGTATATTTAAAGATAATTTTGATTTTTTATTTGTTTATAATTTTTTAGTATTAAACTTTTTTGCATCTAAAAATATTTCATTCTAAATTTGATGATAATAATATTTTTTTATGTGATTTCAATAATTTGAGTAATATATATATA